CCCTCTTGGAACAGAGATCATGATGACACGGCGTCCACTCGTTCAGGAGGAACCCCGGGCCCATCCAGTGGTGGCCACACGTCACATAGTGGGGATAACAGCAGTGAGCAAGGTAGGAGAGACATTCTCATTCTCTTTTGCTACTTGTTTCATTTTTAAGGGTGGAAAACTCAGAAATGTCTAATTAGTTACTACTTATACAGTTGTTCCCAAAACGCAAACCCCATCTAACTTGAACATCAGTTCGCCTTACTTTATTCTCTGACCCTTTTCTTCTTCTGTGCCATTCTCTCTGGCCAGCTGCCTGTCACCTGGCCACCTTCATAAAACAGGGCCAGTGCGTTGACGGAGGGCAAGATAGAGAAGTAGATTAAAAGTCTGAACGTGAATAAATAGTATGCCACTAATACCCTGCTATACAAAAAAAAAAGTATTATGATTACTTGCCCTTGGAAACGTTTCAAGAGCTCATGAAGAAACACCCACTAGGATGGCAAGTTAATGATGTCTCACAATGGTTATAAGGCGGTGGGGCTTTCAGCAACCCATAGTGGACTTCCCTCTCCACTGGGTTGAAACCATTTTTCTGGTTTACTTATCTGAATCTCTTAAGTGCTTGACTTCATTGCAAAGCCAGCCCAAATGAAATTAGGAAGCACTGAAAAGACACCAGATTAATTTAATTTGTGCTGTACTTTGAGTGCACATACCTGTGTGGGAATGTGGGTGTCCATGGATGTGCACGTTTGACTGTAACTAGCAGGAAATAAAAGTTTAAACATCAAGCTAGTCTCCAGCAGAAAGGTGAATGAGTATTCGAATATCTTGGACTGCTTTTCAGGAGACCCTACTGTGGTGGATTTTGTGTTCAATTAATGCAATTAAAGTTTAAAAGAGAATTCTTTATCTGAATATAAAAAGACTGCTTTATTGAAGTTGACTCTGAGCCCGCAGTAGGTACACACTTTAAAATCTGGTTTTTATGATCATGTTTCACTAGAGTGCTGTTAGACAACAAAGGAATTTTGTTGTCTAACTTAGTTGAGCTATACCAATTAAAATCGCAAAGTCTACAATGAATTTAGCATGATTAATTTGAAAAAAACAGGAAAGTTGGGGTTTTTTTAGGCACATGTATGCTATTTGCACTGGGAACAACTTCTACAAATATAATTTTAAACATTTGAGACATTTTATTGTTTAAAGAAAAGTTGCTGACTTCATCACAACTATAAGCCTAGTAAAAACGGAGCCCAGAATAGTAAACTAGTTCAGAGCTGAGGCAGAAACAGGTAACCTCTGACCTCTGACTTTTACTGGAAAATGATATGCAGCATAAATCCAAGGGGCCTTTTTTCTTTCAAGAGTGTGTATGTGTGTGTTACAGCATTGCCGTTCCCAGCCGTATAGTTAGGGTGGCGTCAGCACTTTCGATAGAAAGTTCTACTTTCATAACTCCACGTACACTGTGAGTTTTCAAAAAGGTATAAATGGAATCTAAATTCTTTTTCCTGTAGCCCAAAATTGCTACATGGGGTCCCAGCCTACCATTTTGTTGGTCTCTTTTTCTTTTTCGTTTCTTGCTTTTTAAAAACTTATATCATCTGAGAATAGGCAGGCAGTTTAACTGCTGCATTGAAGGTTTGCAAACAGCTGAAATGCCATTGAATTTAAAATTTTGTAATGCATAAGTTTTCTCAAACATAATCTGATAAGAGGATTTTCAGAGGGCGAATACCTAATACCAGTTCTTCCCCTCTGACATGCGGTAATAAGGAGTTAGGCATTTTATATACTTCTTTTTCCTTCAACAAGTGTTCTCCAAAGGCCTATTTAATAATGAATTTGATTGAGACCAGGAGCCATGTATTCCTCACATTACTAGCTTGCCACTTAGAATGTTTCACTTTATATTTTTTCTCTTTCCATTTTTATATTTAAGGCTACCACCTAGGTTTTTTTGTTTTTTTTTTTTAAGTATTTTTACACAATTTCTTTCATTAGAATGATCTCAGTTGAACCATTTTGAAACCATCCTGGGGTGGCAGGTAAAGTAAGTCTACCCTAGTCCCATTAGACAGAGGAGAAAAATAAGACGTGAATAAGCTGAGTGATTTGTTGAGGTCCCAGTAGCGTCAGATCTAAACTTACAGTTTCTTGATTATGTATAGAAGGTCTTTCTCATCATACCCTCTTTCCCCATCTCTCTACCAGCCAACTAAAGTCAATGACGTCCGCTGGGATGGCTAGAAACTTTCTGTGCGGATTTCCACCCCTCCCCCCATTCCACCAGCCTTACGACAGAGGTGGTGCGAGCCACACCTTCCGTCTTACTTGCTCTTCCTTGTGGCTTTTCTTTGGCAGCGAGAGCTATTCTGCTGAGCGCAGAAAGATGCTTGGAAGTGTTGCTGCAACAACTTACGCACATTTCCATGCCGACCATGACCCTTCTAAACCTTGTTTTCATCCCTGAGACCTGCGGAGCTGGGTCTTTGTGCAGCCTTCGGATTAACTGTGCACAGTGGCTTTTCCACGTTTTCCCTGTTTGCCTTTTCTGGCAGGCATGGACGTGTAAGCTGTGCCAGCATTTGGCCCGTAGTACATGTCCTAAATAGTTATTTACACAGTTTGAGTCCATTTTAGTCAACTGGGTAAATAACAGCCCTCTTCAAAAGATTTATAAATCCATAAATATGTCTTTATACATACCCAATAGACAGAAATAACTCAATCTGTCAAGAACATATCCAAAGAGGTGTTTCCCCCACAGACAGGAGTAATACATATTTTAAAACTTTCTCCACTGTATTATTTGCACTGCATTTCTTTTTTCTCATTCCTTTTCAATTTTTACCACCACATTATGGCACCTGTGGTACAAAAAAGAAAAAAAAAAAGAAAAGAAAAAGAAATCCCATAGATTTTGGTCCTCTGTTAAATAACCTTATCTTCTGCACAGTGTAGGCATGTAACAGGCAATATGTATCTCAACTTAGTCCTATTCTTTTGCACTTTCAAAATAAATAAAATAAGTTAGGTAGGAAATGTTTATTGTTCTAACAGATTTCAGTAATAGTTCCTAGTTAGAGTTTCAACAATTTGGGGGATTTTGGGGAGCTGATAATTTGCCAGATTAGTAGCTGTGGTGGTCGATAAAATAGTTCTAGTACAAATTTTTACCTAAGCATTAAAAAAAAAAAGATATTCAAACTCCAATCCTGAGCATTCTAAAGAGAATACACATAAGGTATGTAATTAAGAAAATACCAAAGATACTATTTATTATTCAGGAATTTAATGTTTATGCATGATTTACATAATATATCTTTCCCCCAACTCAAATTATTTATCACGACAACTCTTCCTAGGATGTCTACTTTCATTCAATATTAATACTTGTGGCCCCTTGCAGGAAATTGATTCTTTAATGGTGAAGTCCCTTCCAATTGGCATTGAAGAGGGAGGGCTCACATCTGTGTTTGGTTGGGCATTCTGCTGCTGTTGCTACAACATTGATTTTGTTTACTCTTTAACTTCCTCAGAGCACTTCCAAAGATATTAGATGGAATCCTTATTTTATCCCTGGCAATTATTTGCTTTATTTTCCCATTTCACAGGAGAAAGAAGTGATAACTCAGAAATATTGACAAACGAGTAACTGTCAGCGTCAGCTCTGGGATCTTGTCTCTTGGCTTTGTAACTGCTTTAGGACGAGAGGAGTCTGTTTTCGGGACCGCCCAGTCGTGCCTCATAATATGAGGTACACGATGGCAGATAAATCTGTCTTTCATGTGTCTTTTTAAATCCTACTGAGTGTGGCTGCATACTGGTCGTCATCAGGGCCTGCTCTTGGCAGTGTGTGCTCGCTCGGCCCGGGGGAACCGTAGGCAGATGGGTGCCTCTTCTCACTAGATCAGTTCTCCTTCCCAGCAGGGCTGGCGCAGCCACTCTGTACTTCATAAGCGACTTCCGCTGTTATGATTGACCACGTCTTGAGTTTGGGCATGTCTCCTTTTGTAGTTCGAAGTCAAGAGAGCTGAATAAATGATAGTAATAAAATAATAAAGTAGGATATTAAGAGCTGTCAGTCAGCGTAGGTACTTCCATCCCCTCACTTTGTGAGTGTGATCCCGGAGGCTCAGAGAGGCAAGGAGACTCGCCCAAAGCCACAGGCTAGTTGGCGGTCGAGGCAGGACTTGAACTTGTGCAGTCTGACTCCAAAGCCCAAGCTCCTAACTACGACATCCTATTTGATATAGTACTTTGATGGGGCTTGGGAATGGAAAAATGGATCATTTGACAGACAGTCTTTCTGTGACCAATTTGACAACCCTTTCCCACTTATCTGTACTGAGCCTGGCGCTGTGCTGTCTAATGGCGACATAGCTATGAATAAGAAGACAGAACCAGCCTTAGACTCGGAGAGGCAACAGTGTGCTGGGGAGCGAGAACCTAGGTCTGCATGCTAAGTAGGATGATGACTGAGGTGTTTACAAAGGGGGCATGATAACTGATATGATTAATTGGTATTATGTATTAAGAGCCTGTACCATTTCACTCATTGAAAGAGTTATTGAATTGAGAATAGGAGCATGGACAACAAATAAGGATATTTCTTTTGCAGAACATTTCCCTTTTAAAACTCATCTTCTTTTTCCCTTTTGTGAGAATAAAGAAAAAGTATTATTTCTACATTGAATTTGATGTAAAACATTGCAACCCTAAAGGACTTTAATGATTGCTGGAATCTCTAAAACCCACTTATGAACTTCTTTTTGGGGGACAGGACTCAGATCAACAATAGTGCTACTAAAAAAGGCAAAAAAAAAAAAAAGCAAAACCAGTGTGTTTCTTTAAAGAGAAATAATTGAAAAGCACTGCTATTTCTTTATAATAATGTATCAATAGTTGCAACGCCTTCCTCTCCCCATCCCCCTCCACACCAGCTTTTGTTAGTTCAGGCAACCTATAGGCAGAAGGCAATTCCATTTATTATTGAGGGGAATCTCAAGGCAGTTGTTCCAGACCTGGGAAGCCAGCAGGCAGGGCTGCCTGGGAGGGGGTGGGGAGCAAGGAGAGGGAGGTGGGGAAGGACCACATTAGGTTCCAGAT